TAAGCATCATGTCCTTTGTCGTGGTGGTCGTTGTCCCAGGACTGGATGATTAATGCTCCTGTTTAGTTATCGTGTTTCTCTGATAATGCAGGTATACTCTTACCGCCAGGGAGGAGGGGGTAGTAGTGAGGGGAGAGATGTCCTACCTGTGTCGCATTCTTTACAAGCACAGAGGTCTTGTTTCGCATTGTTATTTGACTTGGCTGGGCGTGAGGCTTTGTTTTCTTCCCGGGTATATCACGTGCCACTCACCTTCGTCTGCGATCTTCCATATTCTCTAACTTGACAGGTGGGTCTTTGTTTTTGAGTGACGGTATTTCCTGTTTCTCTTATTTATTATTTCCCGCAGTTGCGTGGTAATTTGTGAACCGGGTCTAGAGAATTATTTTCAAAATTACTTGATAAGTCATTACATTTATGAGAGCTTTTATCTATATCTTTTATACAAAGATTAACCAATCTTTATGTTTCTAAACTATTTATGATAAGAGAAATGCGAAGAATGATTATTTAAAAAGTAGCATTGCAAGTTAATATAATGTAAGTTATTCTGCGATTTACGGTATTATTAAGTATGTTGTATTTAAGAGATTCATTGCAACAGATGTTCAGAGCTTTATGCTTTACCTATTAAATCAGTAATTAAGATCATTTGTTATTTATATGATTATATGGGTTCAACTTTAGATATTTATCAGTATTTATAGGTTTATCATAGACTTTTTCATAGCAATTAATAGAGTTAATTATTACGACATGAAGAACAGTTCGACTACAGTCAATTGTTGACTGATTGCTTTGAGTGAACTGGCCATTATGAAGAATTAGTACCTTATTTGCCTAGTAGTCGCAATTTACGTATTCACTGCATATGTATAAATAGTTTGTGTTACTGCATCAATATCATAAGTTGTTTGTACGCCGAAGACCGGCCGTACTGCACCGTAACCTTGCTCGTAGTTGCCTAAAAGGGCTAGCTGTGTGTTTGAATTTATTTCAAAAATTAAAATGTATTTATATCACCGCATTTATGTTACCTCGTCAGGAAAATCATGGATAACGCAGTTTACATCAACGTCTTACGAATAGCGAGAATATAGTCTACAAAGGATGTACTAATTATGTCGAAAATTTTATTCATGAATTTGCTCCATGATATGTTTCGTCTACGTTTCTAAAGCTTATGCAACATAAACATTCTTTGACATTTGGCAGCTACTTGAAGGCCTGTTATTCATAGCACTCGGTAGTATAAGTTACTCTAGTCGAATCTTTGCTAGCACTCACGTTAGATCATTCTGTGCGTCATAAACTGTGTTCATGTTGTTAAACGTAAAAAATTTTCATAACTCTACTGATGTCAGATGAAATGCATTACTGACTAATAACGATGCCAGCTGTTGACTGCTAGGGCATTTTTAGTGTCTGGTTTATGCTTTATCTTTGCTTAGGAGTTTTTGAAAGCAATAGCGATTTGATAATCTGATTGTCCGCTGGTATTTTATAATTCTCATTTCATTTAGATCAACCGAAAAGTAGTAGTTCCCTGTACTGGCCGAGTACATCACGTGACACTCGACACTACCAAGAAAATCATCTCCCCTGGCTTTGATCCGTACAGGATAACCAACAAGCAGATTAGCGAATCAGGTTTAGTGAAGGAAGAAATCTACTTCGCTGACGATTTAAACGAAATGAATGATAAACAGGTGTGGGACTTGATGGTCAGTCGAAGAGCGAAACAGTGAACTACGGTGATCTGATTGGAAACTCGAGCGACTTTTCGTTTCGGTTGACAGATTTAGAGTTCATTTTGCTGATCGGTTTGGATTTGTGTAATGTTTACGTGTTTTACGAATTGTTTATTAAACTGTGCTCAAAAAATCGCACAGAATCGTTTTGCCATGCGGAGAAATAGTGGTGAATAAAGATGGTGATAGCCTGTCAAAATAACGTGGTGACGTGTATTATAGCCCTGAAGCCTGGTAAGAAGATAACAAAACAGTTGTAATCAGGGAGCATATTGCCCCCTATACCTTAACACTCGTTTATTTAAGAATCGGACAGTGAGTTCAAGCATGGATTGAGAAATTAGTGCCCATCATCTTAATTAAGCTTCAAGAGAAATCATAATGAAATCTTTCGATCATATTTTACATCTTTGAACAGAAGATGAATCAGTGACGGGACGGACTGCAGATTTTGACAGAGCTAGTTCATACGTTATGTCAAAAAATGGAAAGTAGATAAGTAACTTAGCACAGGTTAAATAGTCAATACCTGAGCAGTCCGGGGTAACAAGATTGCTTCAGCTCATGTTGTGATGTGTCTGTATGGTGTATTACATTTCTCATTGGTACGACTTGGAACTCAACAGCCGTTGTGAACAACAAAATATTTTATTTCTTTACAGTAAAAAATGCCCATGAATGAAAACAGAAACATCAGTAAATGTTTTTTTACCAAATATACATAATTTGCATATAGTTAAAACTTGTGCAGCCTTTTGAACGAATGACGATTTGGGTATTAGACCGAGATTCAGTTAATTTCTGCTGGATAAACTTAAAAATTGGGTGTACAAAAATCTCATCCATTTGTATCAAACTGGTCAGAACAAGTTAGCGAAAGTAGTGAAATTAAGTTGCGCATGGAAGACATAATTAATATTTTCCTTAATGAATGGTCAAATATCTCTGCCCTATAGAACACCGTTCGTAATGTATGCGTCACAGCGCTTGATACACGTAAGCTGGGTTTTCCGCCGCGTAGCCTGCTTTAGTGATGGCAGTGGCTTGACTATTTTTGCTTGATAATTTGTAGCTTCTGTTTTGAGTCTCATTATCTTTAAGCTTCTATTTTTCTACACTGTTGTCTAAGGAGGAAGTGCATGACGCCTAACGCTGTCTTGCTGTTTCGGTTCAGTACATGCGATGGCGATGTGCAGTGCAGCTGTTGTTCAAAGCTTCGGTTGTTCAACAAACTCCTTTTGGTTTCTAACCTCATACTTTAATCATATGGGTTCACTCGTCTCGACATGGTCAGAAACACAGATATCCAAGAGAACCTTGGTACACAGCCGTTGTTTCTTCAAAACCGGAAGTTACAACTGTGCTTGTCTGAGCACATCTTGCAAATGCTTCCCAAAAGGTATGAGAAAGACAAACTGCTACTACTTGCCCACCGGACTTGGGACGGCGAAGAACAGTCTGGGCAAGTGTATGAAAAGACTCTATTCCAGACTCAGGTTATTTTGTCACAACTCAGACACTGGCATATGATTAAGAACGCTGGAGACACTGTCGGACGCGTCTGCCTTCGCGACCTGAAAGAATAAATGATCATCGAAACTGACGGACAGATTTAATGTATTTATAGTAATTGTACTTCATGACCTTACGCTAGATGACCTCTTCTATCAGAAGAAAAAACTGCGTCTTTTGTTACATCTTCACAGATTCATTGTAACCGGTGAAGAATGTCGCTGCGAAACGAGATTCGAGCACTCACTGACTCATCGCACATTCTAAACAACCCACACCGGTTCTACCTGGAACGACGGTCACCGGAAAAAGACTGTCGGCTTGAGGTTAGTGATTAGATCTTCAAGAAACCGGTAGTAAATTTCCATGAGGCTCTCGGACAGAGTTGGAAAGTCTGTGTTATCCTGGCGGTCTCCATGTACAACAAATGTGTTCCATAACATATGAGAAACAAGCGTTCGTGTTGCATGCTATGAGATGTCGAGCGGCATGCGAAGACGAAGCAGATCACTTGACATCCGGCAATCTGGATGTTATGTTAAGGTCAACAGATAATAAAAAAGAAATTTTATAATCCGTGGCAGAAATTGAAGAAAGCCAGCTTCTGAACAATTTTGTGAATTTTTTTCTGGTCACAGCCATAAGAAGTGTCAAAAGATACTTGTTTATTCCCTTTATCTTAAAGCCGGCAGGGTATATTACCTTGTGTTGGAATGCAGAATGATGGAATATACGGTAGTTGTCAATCATATCACAAAAATTTACTGATCCTTCTTTGCAATGCATGGGGATCATCACTGCCCAGTCTCCCTGTCTACGTTCGCCTTTCTTGCGCGATCACCACAAGCTTCCATACTTTTCTTTCTGCTCGTCGTTTCATCTGAGCTTAGTCTTCCAACTGGGCGCTTGCAGCCCTTTTGGTACAACTCCAAAACAAAAAAGCCAGTCGGTTATCCGTTAGCCCTGCGAAGTAGTCAATCAGAGTCCCAGAGTCAGACTGGAGCTGCATGTGAGGAAAATGGGGGTCATTTATTTCTGTGCCTTCAATTTCACTCGATGTTGGCAAATGGGTTGGCTACCGCTTCTATACACTCTTCTCAGGCGCAATGGGTCAATGTCCGTTTTCATTTCACCCCGACGATTGGGGTTCCAGGAGGAAGATGGCTCTAAAGGTTTGACCAACTTGGAGTTTCATTGGTGAACTCCTTCTCTGGCGGTTTCTCCTCCACATCCAAAGCATAACAAAAACTACATTAATAAACATGCCCGTCTGTTTCTTCCCGCCCGTCTGTGTCTCCTCCTGTCAAAGAAGAGAACTGCATTGCTTCATGGAAGTATGTGAACATCTGACAAACTACACGCATTAAGAATTGCCCGTCTCGTAGATCGGATAAATGAATGGTGAAACTTTGGAATGTAAAATTAAAAATTGAAATTTGTCTTCCAATGTAACAGTAATTTTTTGTGATAGACTTTTATTTACAAAAATGCACATAGTTCGGTCACAGAAAGTTGAGGAGTTGCTTAGCTGTACCTAACGGCCGTCAATGAAGAAGCCTTCCAGGACACGTTTCTTTCGTTCTATCTGTACCATTCGATCTTTGACCGTCCGCATGCTTTCGTCCCTCTTAGCTAACATATCCCTGAAATCATTACCATATTAGACGGTTTCAGGAAATGACCCGATTTCGAGTTGAATACGCGGATGACTCAGGTTTACTGATCAACAGCGGCTGCTTCATGCAGTTGATCATTTCGTCGGCTACGTGATGCAGCTTGTCCACGTCCACGGAAGCGGCGGCAAGCGACTTTCTGATTGCCTCCAAGCTTCTGACTTTTTCAGCACTGTTCGCCGGCAAAGATCGAAGATCATTCATCTGGAGGTAAAGGTCTTCGAGACACGCATTCACCTAAAAGATATCGGTTAGAAGTTTTCCATCTAAGGCTGTTGTTTCATAGGTGAATGGGTTAATAATTGATCAAATAGTTGGCAGAAGAACGAACGGGTGGAGGATGAAAAAATGAACGGATTTATAGCAAAAATCTATTCATTTACAAATAGCTGCAATTATTCGACAGTAAGTATAGTTCTGTTGGGCTACCCGGTCCGGGATGCTGTGCGCTACAATGTCGAAAGCTGCAAGTAGAGCAGCAGAAAGCCAGCTTGAGCCGGAATGGCTCTACTACACACTTATATGAACCTTTGATGGCAAAAACGACATACCTGACAAAATGGATTGTATACTGGTTCTAAATTGCGTCTAGTTGATCTACCTGCTGGAGTATCGGACTCAACAAGTTGATTCCACCATCGATCACTGTGAATCATTGCATTGCTGTTGTTGTTGCTGTGTCATCATCATCAAAGGCTAACCGAACGTATGCAACAGAGTACCCCAGATTTTTGATGTCGGACCTTTAGAAATGATATCTCAGATTGAGGTTAGGCAACCTTCACTGCTGGGACAACGATGATATTCCTCGTCGTCAGCTGGTTTGCCTCAACAATGCGTTTCATGTTTTGTATGGTACTTCAATGCATCTACGGCTAGATGGAGGTTCCTACGTGAGAAAAATTTCGAAAAGATCTCCATTCTCTTTTGGGGCTGCTTAACTAAACTAAGCCAGGCACCGGTCCCTGGGTTTATCTGACAGGTTTCTCAAACGCTGGTATTTAGCACATGCTTGCTAAATTATTAGACTTAGAAAACAGAATTACGTGAAAGTAATAAGGTACTCTAGATGAGTGGAAAAAGAACAAAATATTTTCATGTTGACGCATTTATGAGGGGCATGAACCTGCAAGTAGCGTATACTGCAAAATTCATCATAACGAATAACAAGAAGTTGGAACCTCAAGTTCTTCAATCAAATCAATCAGTTTTTCATTTGCGTGTGTCCACTAATCAATTTGACCAATTTGTTAATTTTATCTTTTCAGGATCGTTCGTATTAATAGCTAAAGACTTCATGAGAAACTATTTTCTCCATATTGTTGTTTACTACCTGAAAGGGGACAGGATCATCAACAGACGAAAGGAGAGACAATCGCAGAACGAAACTAAATGAAGAGCCGAAAACTGTATTCTGGAATACTTCAGAGAGCAAATAATATCGTTGATGTCTGTTTATGAAGAAGACATGGAAAAGCTGAGAGAATATTGTTTTAAAGAAGACATCAACAAACCTGATATATGATAATAAATTTAGAAAAAACGGTTATACGCATGAAAAATACATATATTTAAAGCTTTAGGAACTCACAGCGATGATCTTCCTTCAGCAACAATTAACAAAGTCTTAATAACTAATTTTAAAGGCATCTATGAATTTGTATATTAATTTCGCCATTCCCAATAACAGAAAATACCATACCATTATTCACCTGTTACACCAGTAAATACCGAGTCTTAGAAACTCATGTGAAAACCAAAACAGAATAAGCACAGATTTTCAGCACTAATGATTCTAATATTACCGTTTTAACGTTGCTGGCGAAAGCGAAGCTGAGGTCCATGAAAGACATCCATTCATAAAGAATTTTTTTGAACAGGTTGTGATATTTTTCCAAGTCCGTTCGGAATTCTTTGTTTTTCGTCATGTCCAAACGGCAGAATCGTCTCAAAAGGAACGAAACCTGCACCAGATGAAAGCCGTATTCGTAAGTGCTCTGCAAATGCGTGGATTCAATTATCAGCAAGCTTTGTGATATCATGTTAATTAAAATTTAAAATGAGTGTTGCTAAGGTGATAAGATCAGCACTGGATATAAAATGTTTTCTTACCATATTAAGTATAGTCCGTTTCACTTCTAAGGTATAGACTGATATTTTTTGCTCATTTCCTTAAAGCTACGCACAGGTGCCGCGAAATAGCTGGCTCAAAATTTCAAGAAGAGCAGTGTGGCTTCAGAACAGGTTAAAACAACTCAGATTAGATTTTTGCCCGCATCTTCGCCAGACTGTTGAGAAGTCGAGGGGGCTCGCTCATCCGGTTTACGTGTGCTTTGCTGGTCTGAGAAAGCCTATGGTCAGATGGTGTACAACATGCTATGGGTATGCTTGCGTATGTACGGGATCAATAGCTAACTGCATGAGCAATCCGGTCACTATACGTTAAAAACAAGAGTGCACCAAAATAAATCGCATTAAGTCGAATCACTTTAGTGTGGGCAGTTGTCCTGTGTTTGTGCTGTACACGAATATGATAATGAGACGCAGCCTGGGCGACAAGTATTTCCGCGAAGGAGATGTGGAGATGTGCAGGCTGCTGTTTATGGACAATCTCGTTTTACTGCCATCTTCTGAAACTGATCTACAGTGCTGTCTGGCAAGGCTCGCAGCTGAGTACGACGTAGCCGGCATGAGGGCGAACGTTGTAAATCAAACCGACAGCATAGGGATTTATGATTTCTCCTTCTCCTACACGTTGCACTTTGTAGATAAACGGAAAAGCGATGAAACAGTGGCGGTGTTCACAACCTCTGATGGAAAATTGGAGGAAAATATCGACCGGAAGGCGAATTAGAATGACTAGCGGCGTCCTGCGTAAACTATCCTGAACCGCTGTGACTACAGTACAGCTGAGTCTGAAGACCAAGACCAGATTGAGGTCAATCTTGTTTCATCGTAATGCTGACTTACGGTCATGAGTGGTAGGCCAAGGCTGAAATTCTACGATCTCGAGTACAAGCCGCCGAAATGGACTGCTCGAGACAAATCGCTTGACTCACTCGTCTCGACATGGTCTGAAGTAGAGATATTCAAGACGGCTTTGGTGTACAGCCGCTGCTTTTCCAGATTGGGAAGCCACAACTGCAAATGCTGCTAGAAAAGGTGAAACAGCCACCAACTGAGCCACTGATTAAACGAGATTTTGGTTACTGCCAACGCATTGCCTGGTGCAAGTACCTCAAAGGATTCAGCCCCGGATTCGGATTATCTTCTACCGAAACTCTAACGATGGTACAGGATCGGGATTGCTGGAGACACCGCCGGCAAGTCTACCTCTGCCACCCGAAAGGATAAGCGGTGATCGAAATTGACTGAATGATATTGAAACAAAATAATGCTTACCTTTTAGGCGAAAAAAGTTCGACTTCATATTTAAACTTCCGTATATAAAAATAAGGGGAATTGATTGTCATGCACGTTTACGCGTAGACTGTACGTTTCGATATGCAGGCTCCAACATTCCAATGCATATTTGTATGTAGCATAATATTTTTGATGGGTGAATAATTGCGGTGAAATAATGCGGGATACATCAGAATATGATAGACCCTCCAACATACAGACCTAGTCTCTACTACCTTGAAGAACGGGAGA